GTGGTGTTGGTGGTGTTGGTGGTGTTGGTGGTGTTGGTGGCGTTGGTGGTGTTGGTGGCGTTGGTGGCGTTGGTGGCGTTGGTGGGGTTGGCGGTGTTGGTGGTGGTGGTGGTGGTGGTGGTGGTGGTGGTGGTGGTGGTGGTGGTTGTGGTGGTGGTGTTGTTGTTGTTGGTGTTGTTGTTGTTGTGGTTATTGTTGCTGTTTTTGGGGGTGGGTCGTGGTGGGGGGTGGGGTGGTGGGGGTGGTGTGGATGATGCTGGTGCTGGTGCTCCTGGTGCTGCTGGTGCTGCTGGTGGTGTTGCGGTTGGGGTTGGGGTTGTGGTCGTGCTGGTGCTGGTGCTGGTGCTGGTGCTGGTGCTGGTGCTGGTGCTGCTGGTGCTGCTGGTGGTGCTGGTGCTGGTGCTGGTGCTGGTGCTGGTGGTCGTCGTCGTTGTCATCGTGGTGGTGGTGGTGGTGGTGGTGGTGGTGGCGGCGGCGGTGGTTGTGTGTATGTTGTAGCATTGCTTGAATTAGTATGCGTGGAAGCACTCGAATTGGCACACACCACGTCCTGCGAGGCATCGCTTGCCTGACATCGAGCGACAACCCAACGGATCCAGACATCCTACGCAGCATCTTCGAGACCTCCAAAGTGGCACTGACGTTTGCTTCGCCCGCTTCCATTATGCTGCCCGGAGCCCAGATGACATCGGCATTGATATTGACATGCTCGAGCTAAACGTGCATCCAAACTAGCAGGGCAGGCTAAGGCTTAAAAATGCCTTTGATGCGATAATTGAGAAACGCACCTCCACACTTCAGAAGACTTGTACATAAATCCGCAGCATTCCTGCTCGCACGCCTAGGCAGCTTCCAACTTGCAAGCCGCCGAACGTGACTCAAGCAAAGGTTGGCGAAGGAGATGACGAGAAGGATGAAGGAACCGAGTCGGTTGAAGCGATCATCTTGGATGATCCCACAACGTCGGTGCTTGATGATCACTGGCTGCATCCCTGCCAGTGCATTCCCCCAGGATGGGGCATCGAGCTACCTGTTCAAGCACCTTGAGCAGCCTTGGCAGTTCTGTTGAAGCAAGTTTTGTTCGAGCTAGGTTCGTAAACCGACGCGGCTCCAGAATGCCCAGACAATTCTACCTGCGCAGTGTACATGTCAGAGCTGAGACAGCCCTGCTGCGCAATTGACGTCTCTAGCCTGCTCTAGCTTCCCAAGAACCCGGAGATCAGAAATGACCATGAGGCAGAGGCGTTGGAAGATTTACCCGTCGGCTCTGAGATGGCCTTCTTTGCGCCGCCCTTTGAGGCTGAACACCAGAGCAGATTTTTCACACAAGCCACAAAAACACTTGCCCGTGAAGTCTTGGCTGAACTGCTTCTAGTACTTGCAGTGCGTCTACTGTAGTAAGGTGATTTTCAACATTCCAGCAGACAGACAGGAAAGCATGAGCGCAACATGATCTTCTGAAAACATCCGTTGGTTGTATTTAATAAGAGAAAGGCAGTCTCGACTCTTTGCTGTTCCTACTGCTTAAACTAGAGGCTGTGAGGGTGTTCTTGCCCCAGGGTGGAAGACGTGTTGGTTGAGGTAGCCGCACGGCATGCGCAGCAGCCTCCCAGTGACTTTCGGGAGGAGCGATCAAAGTTTCGGACAATCTCGAGTTAATTCCGCAGCATGGGCTTTTTGGGCTCTGGACCACTGGAGGCATCGTTTACTTTTCATTGGTAAACGCAAAACTTGGGCCGTCTGTCTCGGGGATTTCTGCAGGAGGGCCCCCCTAAACTCCACCCATTTCTGCAGCAAGATGCCGGAAGGGGCCCTTTGAGGCCAGCGGCTAGGGGTGAGCTGCAACATATCGAGCATGGCACTTATATGTTGTTCGAACGACAACCCTCTGGAAAAGTCGGCTTCTCCATGTGCCAAAGCTCGTGGCTTGCGCTTTCTTCTTGGTACTCTTTATGTCAATGCATAACATTTCAATGTTACATTATTCGTAAGAACTTCGTCTACTTTCTCAATGGCGCAAGGGCATACCAGCTGAGCACTGTGATTTACAAGCAAAAGGCTGGCTACAATACGAATGATATGAGCGACTCCTCAAGTTTCTAAGTATGTACCAGGCTTGTCATAAAGAAGGATGTTGCAGGAAGTAGTGCAGCAGCTCGTGCTCAGATCGTCGCGGGCGCATTTGTGTGCGATGAGAAGTTCCTTCTGAACGTTTTCTTCGCCACAGCCACTGAGAAACTGGATCTGGATCTATACTGTATGTTACGATATTCTCGTTACGGTCCTGGTAAACAACGGGAGGTGAGGTTTGACCAACTTCTTTCCTTTGCTGATCAACAATAAGGACATTGGAGCCGGAGCAATGCGAAGCCAAATGTGGCAAAGATCCCAACTGTCAGTTTTTCTGGGCTGGTGAGGTTTTGGGGCGCAGCTCATTTGCACGAAAGCCCAAGCAATCAAGTGTCTTCGATTGTCGCGAATTTCTTTAACAATCGCTGAGGTGCCCAGTGCTGGACATTCCGCAACTGTCGCACACTCTTTCGGGTCATGGGCGCAGAAGGCGTACTCTCTGCTTGGGAAAAGAAGCAGCGAGTCTGCCGCCTGGCAAACCCAGAGCTCTGCTGGGTGGCCACCAAGCGTCGACAGTACTTGGATCTTGCTATAAATGGTGGCGAGCCCGCTGCTTAAGTAAGTTGTCCTGTCTTTATGAGTTGCGGAATGTGACCCAGCACAAGTAAGAATCCCCAAGCCCCAGGCAACCCGGCCAACTCATATTTGCCAGACTGTTTGCACCAGAATCTTTTCGAGCAGTGCGACCATCAGTTGATGCTGGGCGGTGCTGGCATCAAACAAGGTGAGGGCTGCGGACCCTGCAAGTATGCCGCGGTCGATAACAATGGAGATTATGCTGCGAGACCGCCGTTTGCAGACATTGCCGGTCAGTTGTCGGTTGCGGCGAATGGGGATGCCGACGCCGATCTGTTGCCGGATCTAGCGCCCAACGAAGTTTGGGGCAATCCGTTCGCAATCTGTCCTTGGAATGCTGTCGTGGTCGGCTGCAGCACATACCCCGCGCGAGCAAAAATGAGCAAGCTTGCAGTGGCTGGAAACGCATGCGAGGGGCAGTTCCAGTCCCAAAATTCGGGGAATAAAGTCATCGCTTCATGTTCTTATGCTGGCCCGACACTAACACTAACCTCCAACATGGACTATCCGACGTGCCCTTCAGGGTACACTGCGGTCGGTTGTATGTGCCAAGAAGTCACAATGCCATGCGTCCGAAATTCCTGGACACCATGGACCCCGACGAGTTGTTTCAGTGACCAACGTTTCAGCGGCATCGGCGGCATTGTAGTGACCACAATTTGCCAACAGCCAAGCACGGGCTCACGGGAGAAGCGGCCACTGCCAGGCGAGTTGCCACACGGCGCCGCTTTGGTTGCGAAATGCTGGGAAGAGCCTCGTAAAGCTATCGCATGCAGTTTCACGATTTTATTGGATGCCCCCCCCCCCCTCTTCAAAGCTCAAGTTTTAGAATGCCCAGAGTTGGAGACTAGAGGAGCGATTCGCGACCGCAAAGCGGAACCTTGTGTGCATGGCTGGGGCATGGGTCAGCGCCGAAGGCTCAGGTTTGGCCAGTTTTGAGTGCAACTTGACCTGCAGTCGGGCCCACTGCGTTGTGATCTGTGTTTTTGTGATCCCGGCTTACATCACAATAGAGACTTGAAGCTGCAGCTCAGGCAGACCTTGCATCCAGGCAGGGTCCTCTTGTCATGGCTTTCTTGAGCTTGCAGCAGATCGGATCAGCAAGGGGACAACAGGCTCCTTCTTCGCACACGCTCAAGGCGCTCTACATTGGGACAGACCCAACCAACCGAACCCTAAGCCGCCCATAGGGTGGCCATAATATGGCCCTATGCGCAATTGAAAAATGTGCATGCTACTCATGCACAAGGGTACGGGTCAACCCAGCGGGAGAGCAAGGCTCTTCATCTGGTGCGTGCCCAAACCAAACACACGCGCCTCCGATGACTCCGAGACTCTTGTCCCCGGCCTTGGGTGATCCCGGCCTCTGGCCTTGCGATCATGTTGAGAGCAATGGCCAACAGCTCGCCCAAACCTTTGCGCAACTCCCCCCACCCTGCGCCAGATATCAAATGCGCGACTTCGCACAGAAACTTATCAAGTTGAAAGGTTGAAATCATGGAATGGGGCTCAGGGAGTGTTTTCAGTTAATGCTACTGAGTCAAGACATTCTCAAGGTTGTACCCCTCGAGTACTCCAACCTTGACGGCAGTGGTCAGCAGGAGCTCTTCATGGCAACGCGCCGGCATTTTCAAGCCTTTGCTGGACAGGGCAGCCGCCAAACCTGGCTTGGAGACCAATGTGCATCACTTGTGGGGGAGCTCCCTCAGACCGCTTCCACCATGAAGCGCCAATTCCGATCCGAGTGCCCCG